GCTACGGAGCATAGGGAACGCAGGAGGACGGCGGAGGCGACGAGGATTTCGCGACTAGCTGCACGCGCACGGGTAGGACCTAAGAAACGAGACGGTCGACTCTGCGCCCCTCGCCAACCCATTGTTGTTGAGTGGCTATCGGTCTGGTCTCTTCCTGGCGCCCAGGGTGGCACGCTGTGCAGTGAGCAGGATTGGGATAGCTGGAGGGCGATCGTGATGTTGAGCTCTTTCCGCGCGACGGCGCGGGCGAGGAGGTCAACGCCCTTGTCAAGGGGGATGTGCAGATCATTAGACGGCGCATGCGCAGGGCCCCCAAAAGGCGCCATTCCCCCCAGACACGCCCCCCCATGGAGCTGCGGCACATGGCCCTGCATCCCAACTGGCGAGTGCGACGTCGGGGGGGTCTCGGTACTTCGGACAAGGCCCCAGAGATCCGTGGTTCTGGTGTTTGCTTTCGGCTCGCTTGGCAACAAATGAGATTGGCGGAGACTTCGCCCTGGTGCTGGCACAGGGGCGCGGGGGTAGGACTGCGTGAATCCTTGAAGGTTGGCCCCGCGGGAAAATTAATCACTCGCCTGTTGCCTGTTATCGGTGAGGCGCGGCGCGCGCGTCGCATTGCCCTGCCCGTCTCGTGCCGTCCGCGGGTTTGTACGGGGCCGACGTCGAGAGAGTGCCGCGTTGGTCGCGAACGTGTCTTCGTGGAGACTCCGCGCTGCTGGCCGCGCGCCATGTGTTTCAAGGATATGTCTAATGCGTTCGGGAGTGCCAGCTGGGAGGCCCTCGATAACGTCGTGACCGCCGCCGCCCGGCCCCAGGACCTGGCGCCGCGCAAGCAGAGGCGCCGACAGGCCGCGGCGCAGCTGGATGGGGGGGGGGGAGACGGCGCACCTGAAGACCCACCAGGGGAGTTTTATGGGGGGCCCGTTCGCTGTTGCATCGTTCCCGCGCTGGGGCTCCGACCTTGAGGGCCCTTGCGCTAAGGGCGTGATCGTGATTTTTTTTTTTGGGGGGGGGGTCGATGCGATTTAAGTTTACTTTAAGTGCGCCGGCGACCTTAAGAAGTTTTGCTTGGCGAGCCCCGAGTCCACCTTCGAGAAATTCCTAGACGAGCTGAGCCTGAACTATAGCCTACTAGACGAGCGTTTGCAGGGGATCGGGCACGGGCAGAATCGGTCAACGCAGGAATGATTGTTTCGCTTCGCCTTTAACAGCCAGGCCTTCCGTCGCGAGCTCCGCCGATTGGTGCGTCGTCGAGATGATGAAGGGACTGGGTTGGTGATTGAGGGGGCCCCGAAGGAGGGGGATGGGTACTTCGGACCATACTTATCTATGTCGTCCTCTGCTAGGAGTGGGGCTGCGAGGGGGATTCCGGCCGGTCGTGTCTTGTTCCACAGCTTGGGCGCAGCATGGAGCATTCCGTTCCCGCTCACGGGGAAGCGTGCGTTGCTGCCGGGTTTCGGCCAGGGGGCCTTCCTCAGCGGCCTCGAGAGCTTCGTCCTGTCCCCGACGGACTGCGCAAGACTAGATAATGCGATGGCGTCTCTTGGGAGAATCGCGATGATGGGCGAGGCTACTACCTGGACGGGGCCACGCCCTTAGCATGACTAACCTGTAGGTCTTGGGACATTGGAGAGTTCTTGGGGGCGACGAGGAAATGGAGATACGTTGGTTGCGAATGTGCCCGGCGTGGGCTCTTGATCCACCATATCACTGGCAGGTGCTATGTTCCCTGCTCGGTGCTGCTCAGTTTGAGCGGGGCCGACCCCTGCTGGATCGCGGACAACCTGCCCCTCTCTCGTCGCTGCGGGTTGCGCAACTGCACAATGACTTCTCGTGGGCTGCTGACATTCTGGAGGCAGGTGCCCTAGATGATATAGTAGGAGACTTGGTTATACTGGGGGGTCGTGAGAGGGCTGCTGACCTGCAGTCCATAGATTTCACGGAGATTCGTGCTCGTCAATTCTCGCTTCATGTGGCACCCCCAGGGTGGGCCAGAAGGGACCTCTGTGGTCACTCACCTGGCGTGGAGCTGGCGTGGAGCTGGACAGGTGGACAGGCGTTACTTGGCACTGGGTTTCCCAGTCGGCATCGCATGCAGAAGGTACCGGTCTCGGACACTGCTCCTTTGGAGGAAGATGCGGCGCTTCGTTGCCGGCTGACAGTAGAGGGATCGGACACACCATGCGGGGCGAAATTCACTACACGGCGTAGCCTCATGAACCACCTACGGCAAGTGCATCATCTCGGAAATCTATTTAGCATCCTTACCCCAGTATCCTGTGCATCAGCTGCCACCAGACGTTCGCGACCGTGGCGAAAGCCTCACTTCATTTGCAGGGGTCATTACCACGGGAACATTGCATCGCCGCGGGGCCCCGCGCCCTCGGGAAGCTGATCGCGCTCGCAAAGCTAACATGTCTCAGCTGCCCTCTTGAAGGCTCTAGCCTGATTGACCTGCGCCGCCATCTTTGCGCGCGCCTTCCAGTTAGAGTTGCCCCCTACGTACCAGAAGATGCCAGGGGAGGGCGCAGCGGCAGCCGCGATGGAGGTAGACCACGGCAACGGAGCGGCACCAGGCACGGGGGGGCTTCTTCCCGAGCGGTTCAGCAGCCGCATCGCGCACGTGAGCAAGCGCAAGAAAGGCGAGGAGGAGGGGGCCGCGCCAGGCATGGGCAGCGGCGGCAGCGACCCGAAGCAGGGGCGCCACGGGGGCAAGGGCGGCGGCGATCACGGGGAGCTGACGACGGCGATGGGGCGCCCGCTCTTCGCGGTGGCCCGCGAGACGGCAGACCTGTCCGCCAACGCCTGCGCCCGCTACCAGCTGTGCATCGACGCGGGTTTGGCCGCCGCGCGCCAGAAGGCGGGGCAGCAGTGCGACGAGCCCAGCCGGGACTACAACGCCCGCGCCAAGAAGGGCGAGAAGATCGACTGGAAGGCCCGCGGGCCACCTCGCATTCATGTTTGCACGGGGGCGCTGGTCTACGGCGCCGAGATGACTCCAGAAGCAGGCCCCAATCAAGAGCAGCTGAGGAAGCTCCAGGTCGCCTTCAAAGGCTTTCTCACAGACAAGCTGTCGCACGCGACGGCGGCGGAGATGCAGAGGGCCGCGCTGTGCTTCAGGGCGAAAACTCACAAGCAGCCGACGGGCGGCGGCAAGCGCACTCGCACGCTGTACATGCACATCGATACCGCCACGGACATCGGGCGAACGATCGCCCCGCTCCTGGAGAGATTGACCCAGGCGGAGGGCGGCGCGTTCCCGGCAGGAGCAGCTTCCCGCGGCCCGCTGGCGCGGGAGATAGCGGCCATGATCGGCTCGAAGCAGTGCGAGCAGTAGGAACCCAGGATGAGAGGAGAAGAAGGAAGGCCATCGTTGAAACTCGTTTGTCTCGGGCGGTCCCGAAGGCCGTTTCCAGTAGCCAGCGCTGCCGTGAGTTGCAGGACCGCGAAGTTTTGCCCGCTTTTTCGGCCCCGATCTATGCCAGTGCTGACCTGCCTAGTACCCCAGTGGTTTTCGCGCCGCCTGCCTCAGGCCGAGGACGACCACGGGGGGGGAGGTCGTCTGGTCGTGGGAGCGGGGGTCGTGGGAAGGGAAGTGATCCTCTTGCCTGAGTGCTGGGTCCCAGCAGGCGGTCGCGCGCCGCGCTTGGGCCCCCAGCCGCGCCTGCGCCGCTCCCGCGGAGCGCAGCAGGCCAACTCGTTGTCTCAGTGGGGTACGTAGCGATCCACCTCAGATTCCTATGTGTTGAGTGCTGCTCTGGTGCGAGGCCAGTCGGCGCGATGCCTTCGGCAGTGGTCCACGAGCTTCCGATCCGATCCGGTCCTCGGGTCGCCTACGGTCCCGGGGGGAACCGTGCAGCTCTGTGATGGCGCGGAGTATTTTGGCACCTTGCCCCCATGAGAACGACGAGAGGCGATGATTCCAGTGCGCCCCTCCAGCGGGCGGGAGGATCATGGGGAGACGTGGGGGAGGGCAAGGTAGATGAGGCGGAGGAGAAAAAGGGGGAGGCGGCGGAGGATAGGGCGAGGGTGGGAGGAGTGATCAGGCACTATGATTGCCCCGATGGGTGTCCCGATGGCTGTCCTTGTGGTTGGCGCGATGGTTGTCCCGTCGGTTGTCCAGTTAGGTGTCCCCGTTGTCCAAATGGTTGCCCCGATGGCTGTCCCCATGGTTGTTCCGATGGTTGTTCCGATTGTTTTCCTGATGGCCGTCCGACGGTTGTCCTGATGGTTGTCCCGGTGGTTACCCTGATGGCTGTCCCGATGGCTGTCCTGATAGTGGTCCCGACAGTTGTGTCGATGATTGTTCCCATGGTTGTTCCGATGATTGTCACGATGGTTGTCTCGGCGATGGCTGGTCTGACGGTTGTCCGGATGCTTGACTCGATCGTTGTACCGATGGATTTCCCGCAAGTTCTACCAATGGTGTTTGCGATGCTTGCCCCGATGGTTGTCCCGGGTGTTATCCGATGTTAGTCCCGATGGTTGTTCCGATCGTTATCCCGATTGAGGTTGCGTTGTAGTTTCTTTATTCAGCGTTCGGTCGGTATACATACATACGTATGTGAATGCAGTATATATTCATGTGGATATACAGATTTACACATATACACATACACACATATATGTATATGTGTGTTGATTGTGAATTGTGCAAATCGATGTATCGATTTTCAGCTTGATAAAGGGTCTGACAGCTATTCAGATCGACGTATCGGCTCATTCTATGGATAGGTATATCGCGAATCCGATTGGATGCCGATCGGAAACCGAACATTGCCCTTCGCAAAAATTTCTTCCTCCTGGAGGTTGGCCTTTGTGGTATGTTGTATACATACATACATATATATATATATATATATATATATATATGCGTGTGTGTGTGAAGAAAAGCCCCCCTTACATTTCGCGCAGCTGCCCATGGCTGGGCTCGTTGTTGCGCCCGTGCTTGTGTGTGCGTGTGTGTGCGCGCGTTTTGCAGTTATCGACCGCCGAAGGACTGGCACGCGGAGTCGCTCGTCGTGGCGCTGGACGATACAGAGGGCCACGTGCCGGGCCGACCCGGCGTGCCCGTGCGCCTCGCGCGGTGGCGGGAGGACCTGGCGAAGTGGACCTCCGACGACGTGCCCCTGCAGCTCCGGGCCCGCCGTCAGTCTTTGCCGCCCGAGGCCGCTGCCGGCGAGTGAGCTGCTGCTGCTGCTGCCCGACTTGAGTCGGGCATGTCCCTCTACAGGAGGAGTTCTCAAAAATAGTTAAAACATTGTACAGGGAGGATTTTTTTACCATATTTGATTATTGTTGGGGTATTTTTTAATATTTTTTGATTTGTCGTCCAAAATCCGCCCGTAGGGGGACATGCCCGACCTGATGCTCGACCCGTGGAGGCGCGCGCCCGAGCGGCGATCTCTCTCTCTCCCTCTCTCTCTCCCCAGCGGCGCGGGCAGCGCCGGCCGCGGGGCGCCCTCCCGGTCGCTCGCCGCCGCGAGGGTTCAGGCCGCCCCGATTGGGTCCAGAGCCACTGCCTCCCCCTCCTCCTCCTCCTCCTCCTCCTCCTCCCATCATCATCATCAGCATCATCAGCATCAGCAGCATCATCATCATCATCAACATCATCATCATCATCATCATCATCATCATCATCATCATCATCATTATCATCATCAGCATCATCATCAGCAGCAGCAGTGATAATCATCATCCCTCCTCCTCCTCCTTCTCCTCCTCCCTTTTCCCTCCCCTCCTCCTCCTCCTCCTCCTCCTCGTCCCTCCCCCTCCTTTGTCTTGCTCATCTTTCTCCTCCCCCTCCTCCTCCTCCTCCTCCTCCTCCCTCCTCCTTCGTCCTCCTCCCTTACGCCCCGCCTCGTCTCCGGGGTCGAGGGTCAGAGGCCTTACTCACGCCGTTCTCGGAGCTCCGCGCGGACTTCTTGGGTCCGCGCTCGAACGCCCCTGGCGGCGCCTCCGGCGCCACCCTCGGCTCGGGGAAACGCAAGGCTCGACTACGACAGAACTCTGGTTTACCGACGTTTTCGGAGCTCCAGAGACGAAGGTCAATGCAAACGGGGGTCAGCCAGAGCGCCGGGTCTTGCAGGATCCTGCAGGGCCAGGGTTGCATTGACCCGGGCTTGGGTGCAGGATCCTGAATCCTGCAGGATCTTGCAGGATCCTTCGTCTTGACCCCGTTTTCTGTGCAGGAGCTTGCAGGGTCTTGCAGGATTCTGCAAGGCCTGATTGACCCAGGCTTTTTGACGAGCGAGTCCTGGATTTTGACGATCTAGTTTTTTTGGTTGGCGTCTGCAGCGGGAGCTCGCGTCAAATTTCAGACCGTGTCTCGTCATTTTTAATGATGGGCCCTTCAGGCTTGCCCGAGTCCCCCTGATCGGCGCGCTCCGCGCGCCTTGGCGGGGCGGGGTTCCGCGCCGATCCAAGTGTTGCTGGGCCTCCGCGCCCCGTCGCCGATGCACCAGCGGCGATGCGTTGGCGATGCTACTTCGATCTCCCGCCCCGGCGTCGCCGGTGCGCCTCCGATGCATCGGCGATGCGGTGCGGCCTTCTGACCCAGCTCGCTCTGGCCCCATTCGGGCGGCCTCCGCAGACGCGTTGCGAACACGATTGAGAGCGCCCTGGAGTGGGGCCGCTCGGCTCTGTGCAGAGTTGCCGGCGCGGCAGCCGGGCGCGGCGCGATCCCCAGCGTTCGGGAGCATGGTCGAGTGTGCGTTTTGACTCAGGATATCGAGCGAGCATGCCCGGCTTTCAATTGAAGTCAATTGAAAGTGGTCAAGCTGTTCGACTGAGTCGCCGAGGAATTCTCGGAGAAGGTGGATTACAAGCCTTTCCCCTTCTCCACCTTGGACTGCGTCCCGTCTGGAAGCTTCGGGAGCACATCATAATGCAACGCCTTGATTCCTCCGATGGCCTCCCCTGGGAGAGAGCGTGTGGAACATTCGCGGGATCCTTCCAGCGGGACCCGCTTCGGAGAAGAATGCCCGCCAGGGAAAAGTTCAGCCAAGAGATGCTTCTGAGAGCCTCCCAAGACCGCCGAATGCTTCGGATCTTGCAGACAGAGACCTCTGCGAGCCTCGGATGGCCCCCGAGAGCCTCCAAGAGTTCCCGAACGCTCCATATATTACCCTCGCCCACGCCAATGGCCCTCCCGCTCATGTTCCAGTGCGCTCTACACAACTGGCCCAGTACTGGGCCACGAATCTCCCCGGCCCACTACTCTGCCCCGCTGATGACCTAGTATACTCGTCCACCCACATGCCACATGAATGGCTCTGGCCCAGTAGTGGCCCGCGGATGGTTATGACCCACCAGGCCAGAGGCCCACAAATGACGTATACCCAGCTGCTGGCTCTCGAATGGCCCACGGATGACCCACGAGTGGCATCGTTGTGGTCCGTGTGAGGGATTCGTTGGCAGGCGAACCGAATCGCCCCCTCACTTCTCCTCTCGTCTAGCTCCAAGTTTCTAGTCACATGTTTGCCCGTGACGTAGACCTCCAGACTTTACTTCTCTTTCTCCAGGTCGTGGCTTGACGAAGCCCCAGGGCCCAAAGCCGAAGGGTTTGGTTGGTGAAAACTGGCCGCTTTTTTTTTCTCGTGACGCCAGATCTGCAAAGGATTTCTATACACCACAGTGCCTGGCGAGGGCCACCTTCGGCCCAACGATGGTTTGGAGAGGCCTCCCAGACATGTCCTCTTTTCCTCCTCCTCCTCCTCCTCTCCGGGAGTCCCGACCCTTTCCCCGGGGCCAGCTCTTCTGCCCGAGCCGTTCCTGGACGGCCCCAGGGCCCCGGCAGGGGCCCCCCGCGGCCGAACATGGAGCACAGCCTCCGCCCTGACTTTTCCAGGCGCTGCTGGCGTCTGAGTAATTATCGTCCTCCAGGCGCGGGCGGGCGTTTTTTTGTTGTTGATTTGTCATTTTGTTTTGTGGTTGTGGTTGTGGTTGTGGTTGTGGTTATGGTTGCTGTCGCTGTTGTTGTTGCTGTTGTTGTTGTTGCTGCCGTTGTTGTTATTGTTGCTGTTGTTGTTGTTGTAGTTGTTGTTGTTGTTGCTGTTGCTGTTGCTGTTGCTGTTGTTGTTGTTGTTGTTGTTGTTGTTGTTGTTGTTGCTGCTGCTGCTGCTGCTGCTGCTGCTGCTGCTGCTGCTGCTGTTGTTGTGTGTTGTTGTTGTTGTTGTTGTTGTTGTTGTTGTTGTTGTTGTTGTTGTTGTTGTTGTTGTTGTTTGTTGAACATTATTAATTCTAAAGAATAATTATTGTTGGGACCCCTGGTGCACGGCCCCCCTGCGCGCGCCTAGGCCGCAGCCACATTTTCATCATTTTCGTGAGGAAGTCTCAGGCAAAACGGGTGGTCCGGATCCGGTTGTTTTGTTCCCCCCCGCTTTTCCCTTGCAAAAAACACTATAAAGTGGACATTTCTTGTTCTAACATAACCAAACTTCAAGAATCCCTTGCAAAAAATAAGGTAAAGTGGACATTCGCGCGCGCAAGACGAAATCCTTCCAAAACCTTAGTTTTCGCAGCGATTTTAACATAAAAACATCAAAAAAACAATGGTTTTTCAACAAAAAATGTCAAAATTTCATCCCGCGCGCTCTTGCGGATTCGTAGGAAACCCAACACTTTTTAAACATTTCTGTCAAACGGGCTTTTGCGAGCAACTTTTTCGAACTTCTGCAACAACGGTTGCGCACCTGCCAGGGCCATCATCCCTGTCAAATAATACCATGCGGGACACATTCGTTTTTTCTTCGCGCGCGCACGCCGTCGTCGTCGGCCGCGGGGCCCTGAATAGTAGCCACGGTCGTCCGCATGCCACGAAGTGAAGTGTCCGAACGTCATAGGGCGGGAAGCTGGGTGTGGGTGGTGGCGAAGAGTCGTTTGGAAATTTGGTAGAGCTTGAACCGGCCCCCCCACAAAGTGGGGGTATTGCCCGCCTCCTATGAAAACCCTGGCACTGGTGAGAACGGAGTGTCCCCACGTGCTAGTAATTGTTGTTGTTGTTGTTGTTGTTGTTGTTGTTGTTGTTGTTGTTGTTGTTGTTGTTGTTGTTGTTGTTGTTGTTGTTGCTGCTGCTGCTGCTGCTGCTGCTGCTGCTGCGGTTGTTGTTGTTGTTGTTGTTGTTGTTGTTGTTGTTGTTGTTGTTGTTGTTGTTGTTGTTGTTGATGGCTTTTTGTGTATATATATACGTAGAACACTTGAGCCGAGCATCGTTGCCACTGCAGCTCGTGATTGCACATGATCTGCATGAGTTGCTGCAGGTGTGCAGGCAGGCATGCACGCAGACATCACTGCGCGGATGTGTTGCGAGCCGTGACCGCCGAGGCTCGAGTCTAGAGGTCGCAAGACGCGTCCTGGAGCCAGGCGGAAGAATTGCGCAACCGCAGCCCGAGAGCTCTCTGGTAGCATCGTGCCCCCCCGCGCAACCGCAGGACGCGGACCCTCACGCGGCGCTGGAGGGCTGAGCTCCGGCCGTCGGCACCCCGCCGCGGCGGGACGCGGTAGCCTGCGCAGCGACCCCGCAGCGGCGCCGCCGCTGGCGCGTATGAGAGGGGCAAGACCTGCTGCCCACGACGGCGGCGACGGCCACGGCGACGGCGACAGCGACGGCGTCGTCGTCGTCGTCTTCGTCGCTGTCGTCGCCGCCGCCATGGGCGTCTTCGTCGTCGTCGTCTGCCTGGGTGCCCTCCCTCTGCCCTCCTGCTCCTCTCCCCTCCAGCGGCCGGGCGGGGCGGGCCGCCCTCCCGCCGCCGCCCGCCCCCGCATTGCCGGCGGCAGCGCGTAGGGGGTCAGGGGGCCTCGGGATCGAGGTCGGAGGGTCGAGCAGCGAGGTGGTTTTTAGGCGTCTCTCGAGGTCGGAGCCGGCTGCTGTGCCAGATGTGGTCCAGCACTGGTTCTGGGCTCGGGGCTTGTTTGTTATTGTTGCCTTCTTCGGCCTCCAGGGGCCGCGTTCGGGCCCTGGGGCCGTGACAAAAACGGATTCAGGGTGAAAAACTGCACCAGATGGATTTGGGAGGGTCGGGGGACCGCTTTGGTGCGGATTTACCCTTATCTCATCGAAGATAAAAGAACCCCTCACCCTAATAGCATAGTGAAGACGTGGCGTCATTTAGACCCCCTTCCTTGCATTAGGAATATTCTGGGCTGTTAAGTTGGGCCCATCAGCAGCACAACAACGACCCAGTAACCCTAATGTTAGTGACCCTCCTAACTTAGGTCCCCTCCCAGATGATTAGGGGTCCTTTTTGGGGTTCATCATTATCCCTTCTTCTTCAGTTTGATTGCAGATATTCTCACCGCTGTCACGGGGCCGGGGTCCGAGATCCCCGAGTTCTGGAAGGCGTCTTCATCGCGAGTTTTGTTCGAGAAGGGCGATTCGAGGCTGGCAGAGGACAATCGACAAATATGCATCATCCCAGTATGATATGAATTATTTAGTCGTGTATTTTGCGGGTCCATATCCGGAATGCTCATTGCAGGACAGACATGCGATCAAGTGGGTTTCTGGTCAGGCTATTCTTGCGATGACCACTTCTTCGCGTTGACCCTTATCG